AATGAAACCATGGACAGGCTTTCTATGCACGTCAATTTGTTCCAAGCCTTGCCACAGAAATACAGTGTTCTCAGAACTTTTGAATGGTTTTACCAAGAAATACAGAATGCTATTCCCATGATTTTAGTCAAGAACCAGTGAATAATTTATTCATAATGTTTGCACACAAACTGCTTATACACTGCATTACTTTGAAAAATCAATAAATCATAACAAAAATATTATTATAAAGTACTCATCTGCTTTTTTGGTTATTGTGATTGACAAGAATAACAACTGAACTGTATAAGATATCCTTGTCCGTAGTGAAAACTGAACATTGCAACGATTGTAAACAGTCATGGTAGACGAGAAGAGATTTTGTCATTTTACTTCATACTACTTCTATTCTAATCCACTGTCTATTTGTAAAATTGACTACAGGAAAAAATATCACAATTTTCATATCTACACATATAATCCCTGATATCCTTGCTACTGATTTTCAACCTTCGTTTCTCAGATTATAACTGGTACAATGTATTATTAGTAACACATCTAGTACACTCACTGATACAAGTTACCATCTGAATGAGCAATGAATATATATATTTTTTTACTTCAAAAGGGTATTCTCACATAAAACTCTTACTGTGTTTTGTATACGATGCAACTGCGATCAGTAGGGAAATGGCTCATTGTAAATTTATATAAATAAGTTACATCACTGCTATAAAAAACACACACAGTCAAAGTAAGTGTGAGATCACCCCAGGTACATCATGGTCAAATTCATGACCGTGGCATTTGAAACAAACAACATATCGAACGAGGTCAATCATTCCATTACTTATCACGTAATACATCAACATAGAAATCACATACCTTCGACATCAGTCATAACTGCAATTCTATCACATTTAAGCAAACTATTGCAAACGATGACTCAGCTCTGACGATCAAATAAACGGATAAAATCCTCACAACAACGCAGACGTCAACAGATACATAGTATTTCTTCGCTTGAAAAATGGCGTTCAGCCTGCAAATCGTACTCGAGCCCAATGACAAATAGCTGCCAACATTTTTCGCGCATTTTTAAAAAATATGAATGGTTATAGTAACTTTAATATTTATATATATATTTAATTTTTGCACTTTAACATATATAGTATTGTTTCTGAAAAATGTATAAAACATCAAAATGTCCACTTGATTTATTTTTGCTGGACGAGGCTAACAACCAATCAAAGCGGAAGTGGTTGGAGTTCCGGTCCGTGGACTGAGGTTTCCCCGTTGAATCCGAAGGAACATATTATATTTTTTTGTTTTTTGAAAGAAGTATCCACGTTTTACTGAAAAAATTCATTGTGTTTCACCCTAATATGCAAAAACGTCGTTGGTATTTATGCTATTAGTCGTTCACGCTAGGAGTAGCAGCCGCCCGTTGAGCGATCTTGTTATGATTCAAGAGGGCGCTACGGACGATACATAATGTGCGTAACGTTCTGCTCTATCTAAACACGGGTTACTGAAAAGGACCACAGTTAACAAATTAATATTTTCAGTAACACGAGAGTGAAAGTTGCTAACAGTATTGCAAACGCACTCTTCAATTTGATATCAGCGGGGTTTGTAAACAGCTGAAAAGTTTAAAATTTCGAGCACGACAATGGAGATGATCAAACAAAAACAGATGATTTTGAAGTCCCTGTTGCTGAAGGCATGGCGAGAAAGATGGAGTGATGTACAATGGAGCGCACAAGTTAAAGCTGTGCTTCCCAAAGGAACATCTGGAGATGTGTATAACCTAGCAGGTCAGCAAATCTTTCTTTTATTGGGTACTTTATTTTGTAAAGAGTAGGAATAACTTGTATGAACAAACAAAAGAATACACTCAGTCACACTTATTTAACTTTTTATTTACTCAACTTTCGCCTACTTACTTTTTTAGTTATTCATTATTAACTTTATTACATTTTAAACACCAAATTAGAAATGTAAAATTTTCTACACGGTTGTAATAAAGCTGTTATCTTATCTTGTATGATTATAACTGTAGAATTATATCTCTGTTATACGCGTAGTCATGCTGATATTTATACTATTTCTGATACATTTGGTGTCTTTAAAGTTATTTTTGGATATTAAGATTTTATTGACACAGAAAGGATATGCAAACACACAATGCTGAATAGTACACCATGTTTCATAAAGGCTTGAATTTGTTTTGTGAACATTTATAAATATTCTTAAAACATTGATCATAAAAGATCCCCACACTTCCTTCAAATCCAAAGAAAATGCTTTCTTTGGCTGTAAAATAATTTGGTTATACCCATTACCCATGAGTCTTTGCAGGGTTATACCTCAATCATTTGTCGATATACTGCCATAAATGAAAATTTGTTGAAATTACATTGATTTGTTCACTAAAATAAATTTAAATGAATGTGAGTACAAGAAGTGACACTATCATTTAGCACAGAACATTAAATTGCTAAATTGAGTCAGTTTCAAAGGAGAGGTTAAAGGTTAACTGACCACTGGGGACCACTGTTTTCAATTACCATTTGAGCAAAAACCGTCAGAAAAACTTTGACATCACTGTAGTAGGATTCCCTTGTGAAGTGGAACAGCGAAAACGCGAGTTTGTTTTCGGTCAGAATGGTAAGGTAAATAAGATTATTTAGCCTACAGCATTACGAACATCATGTGCAATTCAATTAGGTTAACATTGGTATGCCATATGAGCTCCTGTGTTCACCTAATAAGCTTTCAGATGATATATACTGTAAAATACTTTATTTTCACTGGAATTTATTTTCGCTGAAAAGACTTTTTAGGTGTGTTATATGGAATTTATTTTCACTGATTTTTGGCGAGTTGAATGTAAAAGATAGGAAAACAGGTATATTCGCTGGATTTTATTTTCACTGAATCATTCCTTTAGCGAAAATAGCGAAAATTAATTCCAAGCGAAAATAAAGTATTCCACAGTAGGTTGTTCAATTACTGAAAAGGTCATTCATTGTCTCATTTCAGAAATGCTGCTTAGTGAAGCACTCATCGGTCCAAGTCCAAATACTTTAATATTGTCTTATTTAAAACATGCTATCAGTTCTCAGGTATTGTATATTTTTATTACACTTAAATGTCACTGTGATCATAGATGCAATGACAGTCGTAATCGTATGCTATATTAGAAATTAAAGCAGAAAACTCTCAGTGACACTCATAAAAACTTGAAAAACACACTGAAATTGTCAGATTTCAGTGAGTTAAGTCAACACTAACAAGATATGTGCTTAATTTTACTTTTAAACTGTACTATAATACCTAATGATGTCAACATTGAAAACTACGAGTAAGTTGTATATTCACAGACAGCTTTAGGCTCTATAAACTAAACATGTTTCCTAATCTCACCTTTTCTACCAACACTATGGCTAAAGATACATACCAGCCTAGTTATACATGTACATATACCGTAGGTCAGTTTATTCAAGTCTATATGGTATTAAGGCATTTTTGTTGTCATTCTGATTTTCTTTCTGAAAGTGGCCACTTTTAACCCTTTTTGGCAACATTGGTATATGAACATGTCCTACCAATAAAAACAAAATATTAAGTCTCATGACACATGGTTCGACAACTATCCTTATTTCACATATTTCTCGGTTTTCAGCTGTGATTGTCTGAAATTTATGTTGAGCATCAATAATATATGTGCTACCTATATGACATCTGATGATAATTTAAAATTAACACAACACATGCTTGTTTGATGGAATCATATTGATTGATCTTATGATTGGGGTTGGTGGAAGGGGTGAGGGGTTAGTAGGAAGTATTCTATTTCTCATACTTCTCAAGCAAGATTAAGAAATAGAATACTTATAAGTTATATAACATCATTGACACTGTTAATCGTTTCATTAATTTTTACTGCTGAGAAATTTTATGGCACTTTTCGTGACATTTTGTGATTTTCACTAACTTACAATTGTTTGTCTCACAAAATTAAAGTGGTTTACAGTCATTGACACTGTAGGTCGGCATTCTTTCAACACCGGTCTGACGCATATCGCGCAAGGTGTGCCAGGAGATTGTTCGAAATTTCGAATGTTTAGAAGTCAATCGTCGGCCGGCACGTATTTGACGGATATATTAAATCGTTTTGGGGGCCTGTTTACTAAATAATGATAAATGAAACTTGGAAATATTGTAAGGACAAACTGGGCCCGAATTGCGCAAATTTGCAATGAGTTCACGCTGCTAGTGTCTGGTTTGGAAGGAGTTCAAACGTGTGATTTTATTGCGTTCAAGGATGTTCTATTTTCGAATTAGTTGAAACCGGAAATTACGTGAGTATGCCGAACTTCACACACAAATTTGATTATCGTTATTATGTGTTAGTTTCTGTTTCAAAGATTGAATTATTTATGACATTAATATTTCACTCACTAAACAGTATTTCACTAAAATTTGATAGGGAAGAGTAGGAAATCAAACTCGCGGTTAACCGCGGTCATGGTGGGTGCTCGCCGGTCGACCGCATTTTATGCAAATTTATGCATAGATTCCATGACCCCGGTTTAACGCGGCCGTGTGCGGTAGGCTCGCATGGCAATTTACACCCTATTGTTAAGACTATGAATGGACACAATAGACTGGGAAACTAAAGGTTACTTGCCGCCGCTGTATGGTCTCAGGATTTATTTTAAAAGATTAATGTTTCGTGTATACCAATATAATCGGGCGAAGTATAAATTCCAAGTGTAAAACACTCGATGAGAGGCCGCAGTTTACGTTACCTCGAGACCATGCACTAAGTAGGAAAAGCAAGCCGAAGTTGAAGAGGGAGTGTCACACACTTGGTGCTACAATATATACTACAACAACTGGGTGATCAGCGAAAAAAATAGCGCACTTCTTGG